CTGCTGTGCAAGCGCAAGGACCCGAGTTTGATCCCCAGTACCAAATAAATAAATAAATAAATAAATAAATAAATGTATGTTTTAAGAATTATGTCACTCTACCTTTCCCAGGGAAGGCATTGAGGAATAAATGACTTCTCACAGCAGCTCTGAGGGATGAGTGGGAAGTATCTTACTTCACAGCCCATATTCCCCTTCCCAACCAAGCTATCCATTTCTTTAATTAGCAAAAGGTTATAGAGCACCAGTTATGTTATGTGTGCTGTGCTGTGTGCTGGAGACCCAGTCAAACTAAAATGTGCCATTTTTTCCTTTGGCATCACCATCACTGGTGCCTAGCAGTCTACTTCCCTCATTTAAATCCCCAATCAAGTAACTGTTGCCCTAATCAATCTCAGTAAGGCCAATGTTGAAAGAGTAAACAAAACTTGCAGTTGCCTGCTGATACAAACTGCATACAATCCTATTAATAAAATGAAGGTAGTGACGCCAACAATGAACTATGGGTGGAAAAAAAAAAAGATTTGCCAACTGTTAGATATGTGCTGGCATCTTGGAAAGCTATTTCATCCATGAAAAAATCTTGGTCCTCTTCCACTTTACCCAATTCATCTGGATCAACAGCAAATTAATCAAAAAATCTTTGAGGGGCTGGGGATGTAGTTCAGTGGTGAGCACTTGCCTAGCTTGTCTGAGGTCCTGAGTTCCTTCCCTAGCTCTGAAGAAAGACAGAAAGAAAAGAAAAAAGAAAGGAAGAAAGAAATCTACTGAGGACTTTTAATGTGTTATGTCAACAATTTCCAACCATGGCCGTGGGCTGTGAACTGACATCAGAGCTCCCATGCCAGATATATATATATATTTTTTTTTACAGAAAATTCCGATACAAATCAAGCATTACAGAATATAAGAGAAATATAAGAAACAATACCTGTCTTTAGGAATTTACCCAAAGTTACAACAGAATAACTAGGAGTAAGATGTTGATCTATTAATTCTTTTGCAATATTATCACTGCTTATGAAACAGAAGAAACCGGGTAGACTACATAAGAATTATTCCTATTCCCTAGTCCAATCATACACCTACTACACTTGAAATTCCTGATATACTATTCCACACCCTTTCTATTTCCCAGAAAGTGAGACACCATTCTCAGGAATAATGGAGGAAGTAGGAGGGTGAACTGAGGTCCTTGAACCAGGTGGCTACATGGTTTCTGGAAGGACAGAATTCTTCAAATCTGTGCTGTCACAGGGGTTCCTCTAAAGAGAAGTAATTCTTCATTCTCTAACACCCCCAGTCAACCTCACTCTATAGAGGTATCTGAGAAAAACTGAGTAGCCTGACTTTTAAAAAATATGTTCATGGGGCCAGGGATTTAGCTAAGTGGCACCACACCTGCCTCACAAGCACAAGGTCCTGAGTTCAATTCCCGGTACCTAAATAAATAAATTTTTAAAAATATATATGTTCACAGCTGGGCATGGTGGCACAGGCCTGTACTCAGTACTGAGGCAGGAGGATTGCTGTTTGAGGCCAGCCTGGGCTATACAGCAAGACTCTGTCCCAAAAAACTAAACTAAAAGCAGTGGAGAGGGCTGGGGATGTAGCTCAGTGGTACAGAACTTGTCTAGCATGCCCAAAACCCTGGGTTCCATCCCAGCACCTCAAAAAAATAAACAGAGATGGAGCAGGGGTCCTTTTAGTAACTCAAACAGAGACCAATGCGAGTATTAAAAGATAAATCTTAGGGCCAGGGATTTAGCTCAGTGGTTCCAGCGCCTGCCTCGAAAGTACAAGGTCCCGAGTTCGATCCCTCGTACCAAAAAAAAAA